CTCCTCTTGCCCTCTTGCCCTCTTGCCCTCTCCTTCTTTTCTATTTCTCTCTTGAAGGCGGGAGCAGGGGCAGTGCCAACGAGACGGCACGAAACGCAACCCTTTCGCACGAAATGAGGTTCGATCGTCAAAAACTGAGGTAAAATTGCGATTTCAACTTGTCCCGCGCAACCCTTTCGCACGAAATGAGGTTCGATCGGCAAAAACTGAGGTAAAATTGTGATTTCAACTTGGCCGGCGCAACCCTTTCGCACGAAATGAGGTTCGATCGCCAAAAACTGAGGTAAAATTGCGACGTCCGGCGCAACCCTTTCGCACGAAATGAGGTTCGATCGTCAAAAACTGAGGTAAAATTGCGATTTCGTGTTTCCGGTGAACTCTTTCGCACGAAATGAGGTTCGATCGGCAAAAACTGAGGTAAAATTGCGATTTCAACTTGTCCGGCGCAACCCTTTCGCACAAAATGAGGTTCGATCGCCAAAAACTGAGGTAAAATTGTGATTTCAAGTCGTCCGGCGCAACCCTTTCGCACGAAATGAGGTTCGATCGTCAAAAACTGAGGTAAAATTGCGATTTCGTGTTTCCGGTGAACTCTTTCGCACGAAATGAGGTTCGATCGGCAAAAACTGAGGTAAAATTGCGATTTCAACTTGTCCGGCGCAACCCTTTCGCACGAAATGAGGTTCGATCGCCAAAAACTGAGGTAAAATTGTGATTTCAAGTCGTCCGGCGCAACCCTTTCGCACGAAATGAGGTTCGATCGGCAAAAACTGAGGTAAAATTGCGATTTCGTGTTTCCGGTGAACCCTTTCGCACGAAATGAGGTTCGATCGGCAAAAACTGAGGTAAAATTGCGATTTCAACTTGTCCCGCGCGACCCTTTCGCACGTCCCTTTCGCACGAAATGAGGTTGGATCGCCAAAAACTGAAGTAAAATTGCGATGTGTGTAAAAGCGTCTGTGTGTAAAAGCGTCTGTGTGTAAAAGCGTCTGTGTGTAAAAACGTCTGTGTGTAAAAGCTTCTGTGTGTAAAAGCGTCTGTGTGTAAAAGTCTCTGTGTGTAAAAGTGTTTGTGTGTGTGTGTGCAAAAGCGTCTGTGTGTAAAAGCGTCTGTGTGTAAAAGCGTCTGTGTGCAAAAGCGTCTGTCTGTAAAAAGTTCTGTGCGTGAAAAACTTTTTGAAAGATACGATGCAAAAGATACGATGCCATATAATATTGTCTTGATACTACTCTTCTCGTCTGCCTGTAATACATCTTTAATATATTGTCTTGTAATATAGTGTCGCCATACTAACAGCAGAAGAAGACTCTGCTCCTCTACGCTCTCGGGCCATCCGTCGTCTAGTTTTGGATTCAAATCGATTATTAGATATTATTTTATTATTCTAATTGTATATAGAAGGTAATATATATTTCATATTTAGGTTTTCTTCTTAGATTTCAAATGATCGATGGAATATCCGAATCAGAGCACATCCGGATAAATTTCATGCAGGTTACAATTCAGTGTAGGTTGAATCCTGGCAAGGCCACGGGAGTACGGGAGCAAATCCATTTCGATATATATTTTTTAGATTTCAGGAAGAATCACAGCTTTAGACTATTTTTTGTTTGTATTAAAAAAATTGTTCACTACTATTTGTCTTGGCAACAGACAGCACCAATACCAAGATACAAGAAAGACAACGGAACGCTCTGAGTGTTGACAATTTGCTTTAAAGAATTTGGAGATGCAATTTGAACAATGCAAATTTGCAACAAGAACAAAAATTATGAAAATATGTCCTGCCACATCGGGCGATATGGGCCAACAGAAGGGAGTCAGCTCACAACACCTCGGCCGGACGAGCCACAGCATGAGATTCGAGTGGCACAACTACCTGTATGGGTGACGTAATGATGATATATGATGATTTATGAACTAGCACCCACATTACTCAGAAAGAGAATACCAAAGGTTTTTAAAAGAGTAAAAGAGCGTGGGCCATCCAAATAGTTCAATAAGGGTGTGCCAGCGCAACGGACCTTGAAATGTTGACGTGTTGAGAAGTTTCAGTTTCGAAGCACGAAGGTGCATGGAAATTTGGCAAACAATTTCTAGTCTCAAGGGCTGACAATACAATAAAATTCCCTTGCAAGTTTCCTTGAATACAAAGCCTGTCCTCCTCACCAGGAGGCCCCACACTTCTCAGGGGCAGGATGGGGACCGCTGCCGCTATCACCTGGTGCCCCCTGTGATGTTTGTTGGTTGACATTAACCATAGATATAACATGATATGATATAACTACCATAAGTCTTGCCGTAAGTCCTAGTTATTAGAGTTATAACATGATATGATATAACTACCATAAGTCTTGCCGTAAGTCCTAGTTATTAGAGTTATAACATGATATGATATAACTACCATAAGTCCTAGTTATTAGAGTTATAACATGATATGATATAACTACCATAAGTCTTGCCGTAAGTCCTAGTTATTAGAGTTATAACATGATATGATATAACTACCATAAGTCTTGCCGTAAGTCCTAGTTATTAGAGTTATTTGCACCTACTTGGCTATCTTGGGGGCACCACCTTGCGGTTTTGTCGCGGTTTTTGTTGGAAACCATGGTTTTCTTTAATCAAATTGGTTGGGTTGCCGATGTTCCCATCCAAGTCTGTGAATCAAAAGAGATTTAGCGATGAAATATGACACAAAACGAAGATACCCCCAAAATCATAAACCCGTTGAAATGATGACATGCGTGTACCCGGTACCCAAGATAACAGTGGCCAACACCATCTGCGACCCCAACCTTGAGCCGAGGATGTCGCACCTCCAGTGCTTGCAGGTGAATAGTTCGCGGGGGGTCCGATTTGGATGATTTTATATTTGGATGTGGTCCTTGTGGGGTGTAGATTAACTATACATAATGAATCCGGTTGAATTAAAACAACTCACACACATTAGCCAAGGTAAGTTGCTGGGATGATTCCCTTTCTTAACCGTTACTTATGGTAACATCATGATGAGGTCGTTCTATCCACCAACCAGCATCAATCAGTTGTTGGTGGCATGAGTATGCCCTGCCCAGTTTGCAAGGTAGATGTTCAACGAAAACTTGGAGTACTGGCTGAGTGCTGAATATAATATATAATCTGTATATATATATGTATAATGTATACTCTGGCCAGTTTTCACCGCAGTTCAACTGCTACCGCTCTGACCTCCTTCAGCTGGACGAATTGCAGGTGGACCACCTGAAGCCGCCAAGGCTGTCAAGTTTTTAGCTGCCAAAATAGCCCAACAAAAACCATGAGAAATATGTGTCTATATATTATATATATATACACACATTATATATATAAACACATTATATATATATACATTATATATTATAATTATATTATATCCAGCACTCAGCCAGTACTCCAAGTTTTCGTTGGACATCTACCTTGCAAACTGGGCAGGGCATACTCATGTCACCAACAACTGGTTGATGCTGGTTGGTGGATAGAACGACCTCACCATGATGTTACCATAAGTAACGGTTAAGAAAGGGAATCATCCCAACAAAAAACTTGGAGTACTGGCTGAGTGCTGGATATTGATGCAATTGATGCATTTCTGGGGTGATAAGCTTCATTCATTTTCAGTACTCCAGGTTTCTGATGAGTCATTTCCATTTTTTCCTGAATGCGGGTAAAACGATGGCATAAACCATGCTCCAAATCACCATTTTTATGGGTGGTATGTTTACCATTCCCAAATGGGTGGTTTAGGAATTTAGGACATTGTTTTACCCACATTCCCAGATTCATGTTTATTATCAGGCTTCTCCAGAATGCCAAGCCGCTGTTGTACAAGCAACTGGCTTGGGCCCAGTTTCAAAACATGTCCCAAATGTGTTGGCCAACAGACATGTTTAATTCAACCAGGCTCACGAAAAAAACAGGCAAAGAAAGAGTACCATGTTCGCCAACACACTGCCAAAATAATCTGGTTAGGCTTCTGCTGTTTTGAATCTGTGTCCCATGAGACAGCCTCCAGGACCCTAGCTGCTACTCAAACGAGTGCCAAGAAATGTTATGCCTATGAATAAAAACCCTGGTACCCTGGTGAACGCCAAAATGGTTTGGAACATCTTGGAACTGATTTCACCCGCGAAAGATGGTACTGGTAACATAAGCTTTAAGCAATCAGCACGCAAACAACCAGCGATCTCACAAAACCTCATGCTGACAATCGACTCACATCCAACCCCAAATCATCCATCCTCCCATCCTTTTTGGCGTCTGACAATCTAGTCTTCTAGAGACAAGAGCCTCCTGAAAAATGTCCTATCCCCTCCATCCATTGGGTAATCCCACCCCCAACGCCACTAGCATCACATGTGTTCCCCTCTCCAAAAACTATTTCAGCCAAAAATGGGATGCGTATAGTCAATAATCCGAACATTCTCCCCATACGTTCACACCCAAAATCAGTCCCTGACCAGTTCACTGCTCTGACCTCCTTCAGCTGTTGCTTCAGCTGCACCCTCAGGTGGACCACCTGAAGCCGCCAAGGCTGTCAAGTTTTGAGCTGCCAAAATAGCCCGACAAAATCCATGAGAAATATGTGTATATATATATATATATTATTATATTTATTATATATATATATTATTGAAAATATATATTATATTATATTATATTATATTATATTTATATTATATATTATATTATATTATATTATATCATATTATATTATATTATATTATATTATATTTTATATTATATATTATATTATATTATATTAAATCATATTATATTAAATCATATTATTTTATATCATATCATATCATATTATATGTATATATATATTATATTTATATTATATATATATATATTTTATATATAATATATATAATGTGTGGTATATGTATATAATAATATAATATAATATAATATGATATAATATAATATATTATATATATATTATTATATAATATATTTATTATATTATATATATATATATACATGGGAATGTCATCCATGATGGGTTTCAGGTTTGTCCAAAAATGCCGAATGATAGATGAATTTGCCGCTAATTTGCGGTTTAAAATCTGGGCGAAGACAGCCAATTCACATCAAAAATACAGATTTAAGCTGTGAATCATGGATCTCTCCAAAAATGGTGCATTTTGCCAACAAAAAGTGCCATGCAATGCAATGAGGGTTCTTATGACATTCAAAACCAAGGGATGGCACGTGTGACTGAATCAATGAGTGAATCTTATTTCTGCATCCTATATGCGTGAGTGTGTATGCAATATATCATCCTTATCATGGAACCTCAGCAGTATTGCCAAATCAGTTCCTACCGATAGAATGAATTGTCATGCGTCAATCATTACCATCATATATTTCATGTGATCTCTATAGTTACAACGCGATAAAATTGGCAATGTAGTTGCTTCGTCAGACTAAGGGATATGATCCAGAAAATGTTGGCCGAATTGTAAAAATCAACTAAAAATCCTCCAGCCTCAAGTGCTGAATTCTGACCAACCAGGATACCATCACCCGGCTAAATACTATGGGGGTGCTAGAAACGCTGGAGATATTTCGTCAGGACTTAAATTGATTTCTGTAAATTCAATGGTTCACCAAAAAAGGACGAGAAAATCAATGCCCCAAAAGCATTTGCAATTGCCAATCCCTTTCTAGTGGTTGGTTCTATCATTTTGAATTCTTTTTTCTCCCATAGAATTGGTATTCCCAGTGTTTTTCAGGGTCTTGAACTCCATTGTAAATGCTTTTGGGGCATTGAGTTTCTCGTCCTTTTTTGGTGAACCATTGAATTTGGGGCACTGAATTTTGTACATGCATATGTTTGTGTATGTAGTAGGTAGATAAATAGATAGATAGTTGGATGGATAGATAGATAAAAATACATAGATACATATAGATATATATATATATGTGTAAACACATATACAGATATACATACATATGTATGTGTATATATATATATGCATATACATATGTATATATATATATACATGTGCAGATTGTACTGTATCAAAGATAACGTGCGTGTACCACAAAATGTGGCCAACACAATCTGCGACCCCAACCTTGCGCGGAGGATGCCGCAGTTCCGCTGCCTGCAGGCGGTGGTTACAATCAGTATATACATTACATTACATTACAATACATTCCATTGCATTGCATTGCATTACATTACAATACATTCCATTGCATTGCATTACATACGATCTCTATAGTTACAACGCGATAAAATTGGCAATATAGTTGCTTCGTCAGACTAAGGGATATGATCCAGAAAATGTTGGCCGAATTGTAAAAATCAACTAAAAATCCTCCAGCCTCAAGTGCTGAATTCTGACCAACCAGGATACCATCACCCGGCTAAATACTATGGGGGTGCTAGAAACGCTGGAGATATTTCGTCAGGACTTAAATTGATTTCTGTAAATTCAATGGTTCACCAAAAAAGGACGAGAAAATCAATGCCCCAAAAGCATTTGCAATTGCCAATCCCTTTCTAGTGGTTGGTTCTATCATTTTGAATTCAATTTTCTCCCATAGAATTGGTATTCCCAGTGTTTTTCGGGGTCTTGAACTCCATTGTAAATGCTTTTGGGGCATTGAGTTTCTCGTCCTTTTTTTGGTGAACCATTGAATTTGGGGCACTGAATTTTGTACATACATATGTTTGTGTATGTAGTAGGTAGATAAATAGATAGATAGTTGGATGGATAGATGGATAGATAGATACATAAAAATACATAGATACATATAGATACATATATATATATGTAAACACATATACAGATATACATACATATGTATATATATACATATATATATATATGCATATACATATGTATATATATATATATACATGTGCAGATTGTACTGTATCAAAGATAATGTGCGTGTACCACAAAATGTGGCCAACACCATCTGCGACCCCAACCTTGCGCGGAGGATGCCGCAGTTCCGCTGCCTGCAGGCGGTGGTTACAATCAGTATATACATTACATTACATTACAATACATTCCATTGCATTGCATTGCATTACATTACAATACATTCCATTGCATTGCATTACATACGATCTCTATAGTTACAACGCGATAAAATTGGCAATGTAGTTGCTTCGTCAGACTAAGGGATATGATCCAGAAAATGTTGGCCGAATTGTAAAAATCAACTAAAAATCCTCCAGCCTCAAGTGCTGAATTCTGACCAACCAGGATACCATCACCCGGCTAAATACTATGGGGGTGCTAGAAACGCTGGAGATATTTCGTCAGGACTTAAATTGATTTCTGTAAATTCAATGGTTCACCAAAAAAGGACGAGAAAATCAATGCCCCAAAAGCATTTGCAATTGCCAATCCCTTTCTAGTGGTTGGTTCTATCATTTTGAATTCTTTTTTCTCCCATAGAATTGGTATTCCCAGTGTTTTTCGGGGTCTTGAACTCCATTGTAAATGCTTTTGGGGCATTGAGTTTCTCGTCCTTTTTTGGTGAACCATTGAATTTGGGGCACTGAATTTTGTACATACATATGTTCGTGTATGTAGTACGTAGATAAATAGATAGATAGTTGGATGGATAGATGGATAGATAGATACATAAAAATACATAGATACATATAGATACATATATATATATATGTGTAAACACATATACAGATATACATACATATGTATGTGTATATATATATATGCATATACATATGTATATATAATTATATATACATGTGCAGATTGTACTGTATCAAAGATAACGTGCGTGTACCACAAAATGTGGCCAACACCATCTGCGACCCCAACCTTGCGCGGAGGATGCCGCAGTTCCGCTGCCTGCAGGCGGTGGTTACAATCAGTATATACATTACATTACATTACAATACATTCCATTGCATTGCATTGCATTACATTACAATACATTCCATTGCATTGCATTACATACGATCTCTATAGTTACAACGCGATAAAATTGGCAATGTAGTTGCTTCGTCAGACTAAGGGATATGATCCAGAAAATGTTGGCCGAATTGTAAAAATCAACTAAAAATCCTCCAGCCTCAAGTGCTGAATTCTGACCAACCAGGATACCATCACCCGGCTAAATACTATGGGGGTGCTAGAAACGCTGGAGATATTTCGTCAGGACTTAAATTTATTTCTGTAAATTCAATGGTTCACCAAAAAAGGACGAGAAAATCAATGCCCCAAAAGCATTTGCAATTGCCAATCCCTTTCTAGTGGTTGGTTCTATCATTTTGAATTCTTTTTTCTCCCATAGAATTGGTATTCCCAGTGTTTTTCAGGGTCTTGAACTCCATTGTAAATGCTTTTGGGGCATTGAGTTTCTCGTCCTTTTTTGGTGAACCATTGAATTTGGGGCACTGAATTTTGTACATGCATATGTTTGTGTATGTAGTAGGTAGATAAATAGATAGATAGTTGGATGGATAGATAGATAAAAATACATAGATACATATAGATATATATATATATGTGTAAACACATATACAGATATACATACATATGTATGTGTATATATATATATGCATATACATATGTATATATATATATACATGTGCAGATTGTACTGTATCAAAGATAACGTGCGTGTACCACAAAATGTGGCCAACACAATCTGCGACCCCAACCTTGCGCGGAGGATGCCGCAGTTCCGCTGCCTGCAGGCGGTGGTTACAATCAGTATATACATTACATTACATTACAATACATTCCATTGCATTGCATTGCATTACATTACAATACATTCCATTGCATTGCATTACATACGATCTCTATAGTTACAACGCGATAAAATTGGCAATATAGTTGCTTCGTCAGACTAAGGGATATGATCCAGAAAATGTTGGCCGAATTGTAAAAATCAACTAAAAATCCTCCAGCCTCAAGTGCTGAATTCTGACCAACCAGGATTCCATCACCCGGCTAAATACTATGGGGGTGCTAGAAACGCTGGAGATATTTCGTCAGGACTTAAATTGATTTCTGTAAATTCAATGGTTCACCAAAAAAGGACGAGAAAATCAATGCCCCAAAAGCATTTGCAATTGCCAATCCCTTTCTAGTGGTTGGTTCTATCATTTTGAATTCTTTTTTCTCCCATAGAATTGGTATTCCCAGTGTTTTTCGGGGTCTTGAACTCCAATGCTTTACATTACATCTATATTGCATTACATTACATTACAATACATTACATTACATTACATTGCATTACATTGCATTTATATTGCAATACATTATATTACATTACGTTACATTACATTCCATTACATTTATATTGCATTACATTACATTACATTAGATTACATTTCATTTATATTACATTACATTATTTTACATTACATTACGTTACATTACATTACGTTACATCTATATTGCATTACATTACATTACATTACATTAGATTACATTTCAGTTATATTGCATTACATTATATTACATTACATTACGTTACATTAGATTCCATTACATCTCTATTGCATTACATTACATTACATTACATCACATTACATTACATTTCATTCATATTGCATTACATTAAATTACATTACATTACGTTACATTACATTCCATTACATCTATATTGCATTGCATTACATTACATTACATTACATTTCATTTATATAACATTGCATTACATTACGTTACATTACATTCCATTACATCTATATTGCATTACATTACATCTATATTGCATTACATTACATTACATTGTATTACATTACATTACATTACATCTTTATTGCATTACATTATATTACATTACATTACGTTACATTACATTCCATTACATCTATATTGCATTACATCACATTACATTACATTACATTACATTTCATTTATATTGCATTACATTATATTACATTACATTACGTTATATTATATTTCATTACATCTATATTGTATTGCATTATTTTACATTACATTCCATTCCATTACACTACATTACATTGCATTCCATTACATTATATTACATTACATCTATATTGTATTGCATTACATTAAATTACATTACATTACGTTACATTACATTCCATTACATCTATATTGCATTGCATTACATTACATTACATTACATTTCATTTATATAACATTGCATTACATTACGTTACATTACATTCCATTACATCTATATTGCATTACATTACATCTATATTGCATTACATTACATTACATTGTATTACATTACATTACATTACATTACATTTATATTGCATTACATTACATTACATTACATTTCATTTATATTGCATTACATTATATTACATTACATTACACTACATTACATTACATTTATATTGCATTGCATTACATTGCATTACATTACATTATATCCATACATACATACGTAAAATTACGCGTATACAAATACAGAACATATACACATAGCTGTGTATCTATATTACATTTATATATACATATACATAGTTATGACAAAGAAAAACAGGTCGTGCCAGAACAAACTTTGCACAATGTCAGAGGACCACAAACCTACAGCACAAGAATTTACGTACAATTTATATCAATTTATAGATACAACATGATACAACAATCTACAATCCCCAATCTGCAATAACCTGCTGCTTGAATTGAAGTTGTTGCTTCCAATCATCCATCAACCGTAAATTTGAATAAACTCACGTTCAATATCTGAAGCCATATGGTTTCCTCTACGAAAAAAAAAAAACTTTATCCATGGCAACAAATTTGATCCAATTCCTCCCTCAAATCTTGGAATTCACGGATCTCCACTGTTTTTGGTTCCCAGGAGGAACAAGAAAAGAATATAAGTCCCGCCTAGGGAAGTACGCAGCAGCTCTTCCAAGGCGTCGCCTTGGCAGCGAGGAGTCACAAAAGAGAAAAATTTAGTTATTTTACCTAGAAAAAACAGATGGAAAAAGAGCTGGTTGGAGGTATTTATGAAGTTGATCATGGGAAATACGTGTGCTTATTAGCTGGATCTATTGGCTCGATCATCAAATTGACGGTGATTTCCAGCATTTTTCAATCAAAGGAATGTAGCTATTTCCATCTATATCCGACATGGTGGCGCATCACAGGAATCGTAAGTGTGTGTGTGAGAGGGAGGGAGGGAGGGAGGGAGGGAGAGGTCACCCCAATTATAACTGGACATTGCCCTTACTTACCCTATTTATAAGTGGGGGTATAACCAACTTACCAACTGGGATGAGCTACCAAGTTTCCTTTCGGTACTTTACTATTTACCAGCTTGCCATAGAAAATGAGTCATGAGAGTTTCCATTTCAAAAAACTCAAGGATTAGTTTCTACCCAAGGTTGGTGCTATTCTTGAATGGAAAAACTCGACTAAAGATGGCTAAAGGATGGATTTATAGTGGATAATTCCATATAATTCCTATATACAAGTATCTATAGTTAGATAGGATGAAACACCAACTTGTAATTGGGGTGCCCCTGTGACATAAATGGGGTATGTAATCAACGAAAACTGATCATATGGAAAATCGTTCAAATCCCTGAGCCATCGCCAGATCAGTCGAACAAGTCGCAGCTTCCAGCGGAGCCATTTGATCCCTGGCGTGCAGCAACTCGCTGGTTCAGAACTTTCATTCCATGCTGAACAAAGTCACCGTTCCAGGATAGAAAGTGTGTTTGGGTTTAAAAAACACAAAATCGCAAGGTTTCCTTTCCAATTCCTGCAAACCTACTTGGAAGTGCGGTTCCAAACTAAGTGGATGTATATCTCACCATAGTTACAACATGTTACAACGCTGATCTCCCAACTTATGAGGCTTAATTCACCATGGTTACACCCACAAAAGTAACCTTAACTGCCCATCCTAGAGATGGGGTTCCCCCGACCTCTGGCAAGTTGGACTGCTCTGCAAAGAGGGCAATCCTGGAGCACCATTTGGAGATGACCCAGGTTTCCATTGAAACAATAATCCACAAGCCAGAAAATTCAAATGGTTCATCAATGTTCTTCAAACATTTTTTCAATGACTCAGTACTGACATGGATTGAAGTGGTTCATCATCATTTTCCCAACAAAAGCCAGGTAACCCAGCCCTTCCCCTGTGGTGAACCAAAGATCCACGGTCCAGTGGGAGAGGGTTTCTGGGCTCGCACTGTCTGGACCTTGGAGTGGGAATAATGGGAACTCACAAGTGGATATATGATGTAAATTACACTGTAAATGCGGTAATTTGATGTAAGTTGTTAATTAACCCTTGTGCACATATATATATATATATACACAGTATATAAATAACCATATGAAACCCATATATCACTGGGAATATTCCATACATAAGTGGGGGATAAGATCAAATTACAACTTGCTAACCTTGGTGATCCCCTGCTAGAAGTTTGACTTTTAGTGGGACTATATGGTAAATCCACCTACTGGCATGCATAGTGAATAGTGCATGGCTATAGTCAATCCAAGGGACCCCAGCATTCTTGAAACATTTGTTCTAGTTCCTGAACTTTGATAAATGATGATGGCTGATGAGAGACACCTGAAGCATGTTTTGTCGAATCACACCGTCGCATCAAAAAATTGACATTGGATGCAGCCCTAGCGGATTTCCCATTGGGAAGATAGAAACATGACCTTGAAAGAAGCCATGAATACTCCCATGATTCCCATGTTTTTTTTGCCTTGAGTTTCGGCTCCAAGCAGCTCGGTGCATACGCCCCGCCAACGCCAGGACTGCCTGTTGCCCCCCGTGATGTTTGTTGGTTGATAATCCCATTAACCATAGATATAACATGATATGATATAACTACCATAAGTCTTGCCGTAAGTCCTAGTTATTAGAGTTATTTGCACCTACTTGGCTATCTTGGGGGCACCACCTTGCGGTTTTGTCGCGGTTTTTGTTGGAAACCATGGTTTTCTGAAAATCAAATTGGCTGGGTTGCCGATGTTCCCATCCAAGTCTGTGAATCAAAAGAGATACATGTGCATATTGTACCAAAGATACCCCCAAAATCATAAACCCGTTGAAATGATGACATGCGTGTACCCGGTACCCAAGATAACAGTGGCCAACACCATCTGCGACCCCAACCTTGATCCGAGGATGCTGCTGCTCCGGCGCCTGCAGGTGAATAGTTCGGGGGGTCCGATTTGGATGATTTTATATTTGGATGTGGTCCTTGTGCGGTGTAGATTAACTATACATAATGAATCTGGTTGAATTAAAACAACTCACACACATTAGCCAAGGTAAGTTGCTGGGATGATTCCCTTTCTTAACCGTTACTTATGGTAACATCATGATGAGGTCGTTCTATCCACCAACCGGCATCAACCAGTTGTTGGTGACATGAGTATGCCCTGCCCAGTTTGCAAGGTAGATGTTCAACGAAAACTTGGAGTACTGGCTGAGTGCTGGATATTGATGCAATTGATGCATTTCTGGGGTGATAAGTTTCTTTTCAGTACTCCATGCTTCTGATGAGTCATTTCCATGTTTTCCTGAATACGGGTAAAACGATGGCATAAACCATGCTCCAAATCACCATTTTTATAGATTGTATGTTTACCATTCCCAAATGGGTGGTTTAAGACATTGTTTTACCCACATTCATCAGATTCATGTTTATCATCAGGCTTCCCCAGTATGCCAAGCCGCTGTTGTACAAGCAACTGGCTTGGGCCCAATTTCAAAACATGTCTCAAATATGTTGGCAAGCTGACATGTTTCAATTCAACCAAGCTCACGAAAAAACAGGCAAAGAAAGAGTACCATGTTCGCCAACACACTGCCAAAATAATCTAGTTTGGCTTCTGCTGTTTTGAATATGTGTCCCATGAGACAGCCAGGACCCGAGCTGCTACTCAAACGAGTGCCAAGAAATGTTATGGCTATGGATAAAAGCCCTGGTAGCCTGGTGAACGAATCGAGTCTTCTAGAGACAAGAGCCTCCTGAAAAATGTTCCCCTCCATCCATTCCCCTCTCCAAAAACTATTTGAACCAAACAATGGGATGCTTATAGTCGATACTCTGACCAGTTTTCACCGCAGTTCAACTGCTACCGCTCTGACCTCCTTGAGCTGGTGGAACTGCAGGTCCACCTGAAGCCGCCAAGGCTGTCAAGTTTTGAGCTGCCAAAATAGCCCAACAAAATCCATGATAAATATGTATATATATATATAATATATATATACATGATATATAATATAGTATAATATATACAATATATATATATATACATTATATATATATATACATTTTATATACATTATACATATATATATATATATTTACATTATACATTATATATATAGTATATTATAGATACATTATACATATACATTATATATATACACACTATACATATATATATATATATACACACCTTATTATAGATATACATTATATATATATTATAAAATATAGTATATTATATATATATATGTGAATGTCATCCATGATGGTTTTCAGCTTTGTACAAAAATGCCGAGTGATAAATGAATTTGCCGCTAATTTGCCGTTTAAAATCGGGATGAAGACGGCCAATTCACATCAAAAATACAGATTGAAGCTGTGAATCATGGAAGTTGATGTCTCCAAAAATGGTGCATTTTACTAACAAAAAAGTGCCATGCAATGCAATGATGATTTTTATGACATTCAAAACCAAGGGATGACACGTGTGACTGAATCAATGAGTGAATCTTATTTCTGCATCCTATATTCGTGTGTGTGCATGGAATATGTCATCCTTATCATGGCAACTCAGCAGTATTGCCAAATCAGTTCCTACCGATAGAATGAATTGTCATATTTTAATCATTACTATCATATATCTCATACGATCTCTATAGTTACAACGCGATAAAATTGGCGATATAGTTGCTTCGTCAGATCTGCTGTTTTGAATATGTGTCCCATGAGACAGCCAGGACCCGAGCTGCTACTCAAACGAGTGCCAAGAAATGTTATGGCTATGGATAAAAGCCCTGGTAGCCTGGTGAACGAATCGAGTCTTCTAGAGACAAGAGCCTCCTGAAAAATGTTCCCCTCCATCCATTCCCCTCTCCAAAAACTATTTGAACCAAACAATGGGATGCTTATAGTCGATACTCTGACCAGTTTTCACCGCAGTTCAACTGCTACCGCTCTGACCTCCTTGAGCTGGTGGAACTGCAGGTCCACCTGAAGCCGCCAAGGCTGTCAAGTTTTGAGCTGCCAAAATAGCCCAACAAAATCCATGATAAATATGTGTATATATATATATGTATACACATGATATATAATATAGTATAATATATATATATATACATTATATCATATATATATATTATATATTATATATATACACACTATACATATATATACACACATTATATATATATATACATTAAAGATATACATTATATATATTATAAAAATATAGTATATTATAAAATATAGTATATTATAAAATATAGTATATTATAAAATATAGTATATTATGTATACATGATATATAATATTATATATATACATTATATATATACATTATATATATACATTATATATATATACATTATATATATACATTATATATATACATTATATATATACATTATATATACATTATACATATATATATATATTATATATACTCATTATATATATACATTATATATATATACACATTATATATATACATTATAGATGTACATTATATATATATATATTATTATAAAATATAGTATATTATATTTTTAGATATATATATATATGTGAATGTCATCCATGATGGTTTTCAGCTTTGTACAAAAATGCCGAGTGATAAATGAATTTGCCGCTAATTTGCCGTTTAAAATCGGGATGAAGACAGCCAATTCACATCAAAAATACAGATTGAAGCTGTGAATCATGGAAGTTGATGTGCAATGCAATGATGATTTTTATGACATTCAAAACCAAGGGATGACACGTGTGACTGAATCAATGAGTGAATCTTATTTCTGCATCCTATATTCGTGTGTGTGCATGGAATATGTCATCCTTATCATGGCAACTCAGCAGTATTGCCAAATCAGTTCCTACCGATAGAATGAATTGTCATATTTTAATCATTACTATCATATATCTCATACGATCTCTATAGTTACAACGCGATAAAATTGGCGATATAGTTGCTTCGTCAGATCTGCTGTTTTGAATATGTGTCCCATGAGACAGCCAGGACCCGAGCTGCTACTCAAACGAGTGCCAAGAAATGTTATGGCTATGGATAAAAGCCCTGGTAGCCTGGTGAACGAATCGAGTCTTCTAGAGACAAGAGCCTCCTGAAAAATGTTCCCCTCCATCCATTCCCCTCTCCAAAAACTATTTGAACCAAACAATGGGATGCTTATAGTCGATACTCTGACCAGTTTTCACCGCAGTTCAACTGCTACCGCTCTGACCTCCTTGAGCTCGTGGAACTGCAGGTCCACCTGAAGCCGCCAAGGCTGTCAATTTTTGAGCTGCCAAAATAGCCCAACAAAATCCATGAGAAATGTGTATATATATATATATATACATTATATATAATATAGTATAATATATATATACATTATATAATATATATATTATAATATATATACACACTATACATATATATATATATACACATTATATTATATATATATATATACATTATAGATATACATTATATATATTATAAAATATAGTATATATTATATATATACACATGATATATACTATAGTATAACATATATATATACATTATATATATATATACATTATATATATATATACATTATACATATATATATATATTATATATACATTATATATATATACATTATATATATATACATTTTATATACATTATACATATATATATATATATATATACATTATACATATATATATATACACATTATATATATATACACATTATATATATATATACACATTATATATATATTATTATAAAATATAGTATATTATTTATATATATATATGTGAATGTCATCCATGATGGTTTTCAGCTTTGTACGAAAATGCGGAGTGATAAATGAATTTGCCGCTAATTTGCCGTTTAAAATCGGGATGAAGACAGCCAAATTACATCAAAAATACAGATTGAAGCTGTGAATCATGGAAGTTGATGTCTCCAAAAATGGTGCATTTTACCAACAAAAAAGTGCCATGCAATGCAATGATGATTTTTATGACATTCAAAACCAAGGGATGACACTTGTGACTGAATCAATGAGTGAATCTTATTTCTGCATCCTATATTCGTGAGTGTGCATGGAATATGTCATCCTTATCATGGCAACTCAGCAGTATTGCCAAATCAGTTCCTACCGATAGAATGAATTGTCATATTTTAATCATTACCATCATATATCTCATACGATCTCTATAGTTACAACGCGATAAAATTTGCGATATAGTTGCTTCGTCAGACTAAGGGATATGATCCAGAAAATGTTGGCCGAATTGTAAAATCAACTAAAAATCCTCCAGCCTCAAGTGCTGAATTCTAACCAACCAGGTTACCATCACCCGGCTAAATTCTTTGGGGGTGCTAGAAACGCTGGAGATATTGCGTCAGGAATTAAATTGATTTCTGTAAATTCAATGGTTCACCAAAAAAGGACGAGAAAATCAATGCCCCAAAAGCATTTACAATGGAGTTCAAGACCCCGAAAAAACTTGGGAATACCAATTCGATGGGAGAAAAAAGAATTCAAAATGATAGAACCAACCACTAGAAAGGGATAGGGCAGTCTTCTTTGATCCTTCACCTTCTTTTCTCGAGAATTACCAGACATGGTTTTTGAATTTTAGCCAGTGTATTGCCAATATACAATATGTACATACATATGTTTGTGTATGTAGGTAGATAAATAGATAGATAGTTAGATGGATAGATGGATAGATAGGTACATAAATATACATAGATACGTATAGATACATATACAAATATATATATATACACATACATACATACATATATATATATATGTGCATATACATATGTATATATATATACATGTGCATATTGTACCAATTATACCCCCAAAATCATAAACCCGTTGAAATGATAACATGCGTGTACCACGAAATAATAGTGGCCAACACCATCTGCGACCCCAACCTTGAGCCGCCGCTCCAGTGCCTGCAGGCGGTGGTTACAAAGTTGATGGAGTAGAGCAGTATCCGAAGCAACGAATCAAAGGTGCAATCAGTCTTACAAAGATAGAAGTTTGTGTGTATATACATATTATACAACATATAAACATATATACATATATACATACATTATATATTCTATACATTCAACATTATACATTATATACATTATACATTGAACATTTTACATACATTATACATATATATATATACATTCTATATACATTCTATAACATTATATATACATTATATATATATACGTATATTTTATATACATATACATTATACAGTATACATGATACATTACTCACTTTACATTTACATTACACATTATACACATTAGACATTATAATCATTTTACATTATAGTCATTTTACATTATAAATTATACAGTGTACACCATGCGATTCACTATACACTATACAGCGCATATGCATATACATATGCACTATACAGATTCAGAAACAGATACAAATACCCACGCATATACATGCACATAAACATGGACATAGACAGTTTAAAAACATAGACAGTTTAAAAACAACAGTCTACAATCCCCAATCTACAGTATGATTGGAACATTGAATCAACATGGAATGTTTCAACCAACGAGCATGAGGTTTCAGAGTTTTGTTCTGCTTTAGGTGTGTCCGGGGGGAGGTTGATCATCAAAAACGGAGGGAGGCGTTGTCTCCAAAAGATCATGGAATGTTGATCTTGACCTGCACTCTAGATTAAGATGTTCACTGCGTTCTTTCGGATCCCTCAGCCTGAAACGAACACCAAGGCACCAGCTGCCACCTGTCCCACCATCTGGAACCACAGCGACTCTCCGTCGAAGAGGCTGTAGGTGTTCACATTCGGAGCCGGCTCACCTGTTCCTGAGTAACAGCGAAAACTCCCCACAACCCCCCACATTTAGAAAGGGTGTAGAATAGTTGTGGGTATTCTTTTGCCTCAGGTTTTGGGATTTGTTTTTGGCTTTCTTTCCTGGCACCATTTGCCTTGTATTTGCAACAGTTTGGAACTAGAACCTGTCATTTTGCATGGTATTTGCTACATTTGGCCATGTTCGCCTTCCATTTTGCATGGTATTTGTCACATTTAGGCATTTCAACCTCTCATTTGCAGGTACTTGCTACATTTTGGTACTTCAAATGTTCATGTGGGTCTCTTGAGGGTTCTTTAGGCTTTCATTTCAGGTGTCATTTAAGGTTTCATTTAGGGTTTCATTTAGGGTTTTATTTAGGGCTCCACTTGGGGTTTTATTTGGGGTTTCATTTGGGGTTTCATTTAGGGTTTCGTTTAGGGTTTCCTTTCGGGTTTCATTTAGGGTTTCATTTAGTGTTTCTTTAGGGTTTCAGTTTGGGTTTCATTTAGGGTCTCATTTAAGGTTTCTTTAGGGTTTCATTTAGAGTTTCTCTAGGGTTTCATTTTGGGTTTCATTTAGGGTTTCTTTTAGAGTTTCTTTAGGGAACCATTTCTGTTTTCTTTAGGGTTTCATTTCAGGGTTTCTTATCAGGATTTCTTTTCACGATTTCTAAACGTTCAAGTGGGTTCCTTCATGGCTCTTTAGGGTTTCATTTAGGATGTCATTTAGGGTTTCTTTAGGGTTTCATTTAGGGTGTCATTTAGGGCTTCTTTAGGGTTTCATTTAGGGCTTCTTTGGGGTTTCATTTTGGGTTGCAATTTGGGTTGCAATTTAGGTTTCTTTAGGGAGTCAATTTAGGGTTTCAGCTAAGGTGTCAGTTAAGGTTGTAGTTAATTTTTTTCAGCGTGTTGTTTAGGGTTTAAAGTTTCTTTAGGGTTTCATTGATTAATGTGTGGTTTCTTTAGGGTTCATTTAGGGCTTCATGTAGGGTTTCTTATCAGGATTTCTTTAGGGTTTCTTTGGATTTCACCTAGGGTCTCTCTAGGGTTTCATTTAGGATACAAACAGAACAGAATAAAGCAAAGAAAATGAAAAACAAAGAGACAGTATAGACAGGAAGCAAAGAAGCAAAGGAGCAGGAAGTAGAGCAGCAAAAACACATGACTGAAGAAAAGAAAAAGTAGTAGAAAGGCAAAGAAGTACAAAAGCAGAGAAGCAGGGAAAACAGCGAAGCAGAAAAACAGAAAAGCAGAAAAGCAGAAAATCAGAGAAGCAGGAAAGCATAGAACCAGGAACCCAAAAAAAAATCCAAAACCTGCCGCGAAACAAAAATCCAAAAATAGATAGCCCATGATAGCCCTCCATTTAGAAATGATTTTCCAATATCTGCCGTTATAACGAGATATATTCAATCCCTCAAACCTTCATATCACCTAAAAGAAGCATTAGAATATTCCATGATATTCCCCTCATCAGCTCAGTCCCAGCCTCCAAAGAAACTCCACTCTGGAGGCATTGCCTGCATTTCTGGTTGGCGAATCAAACCAATTCTGCGGGGATTTTTGAACTCTCGGAAATTCAGATGTTGATTGACTATGTTATGGATGGTTGGTTGTGGAACAGGCCTTGCAGCAACCAACAAGCAAGATGATGAAGAGCAGCATGGCGGACAGGGAAAGTGAAATGGGAAATGGTAAGTTGAGGTGTTCCAGGTTTCTTACATGCTTTTATGAGAAGAATGACGTGCAGTTTTGTCCTAATGCTGTGAAGCCAGGTTCCGGTATGCTTTCTATTAATCTCTGATTCTTCAGAAAGGATACTGCAGGAATCTGATGGAATATTAAGAAGTGAAGTATATAGATTCACGATGGCTAGTGTACTTGGCAATTTCAAGATGCGCGGGGAGGTACCAGATCCCAAATGATGACTCGGTCGGCAGAGACAAGGTGGGACAAGGTGCGAATCTGACGGGTTATAGTGGCTGTTCGGTAAATCACTGCGAAACTCACTGTGAAGGTCACTGTGAAGTAGATGGATGATGCACATGTTCAATTTGTAGACCAGAAAATGAAGAGCAAGGAATGAAGGATAAGGCCCAATCTCTGGTGATATCTGTTTCGATGCTTGCCATGTTCCTAGCGCCGCTGGTTGCTTATTTCTGTGACGAAGGCCAAAAGACCCATTTGCATTGTTTTGAACTGATCGGGAATCTTCAGCATTTACTGTGTCGTTGATATCTATCAAATTCAATGTGCACACACATTGCTTTCAAGCAAATAGATTCTGTGACAATCAACCTGTTTAACATCGCTCGTCTCCGATGATAGCTGGGTCAGATGTGGTGCCGCCTCCAGATTGACACCTGACATGGGAAGGCATAGGAACGCCCGTGAACTCTGACACAGCATCTGAAGAATTTCGATGAGTTTGAGGAGCCTGGTGGTTTGGAAACCAGTTGTCTCATGTTTTCTCGCACCTTGAAGTTCTCGCGCTTCACTCAATTCCCGGTCTTCCGTCAATCGACGATCTGTCTGTCCTTGCTGTAGAGCAAACCTTGGAGAGGGGGTGCACTGCACACTGGACTTAATTGGACATCCAATTTCTCAGCGCAACTGGTATGATGCAAACAGCGAGATTGCTGCGACAACACCGATGCCAATCAAGTGAGAAAAAAAAAACGACGCATTGTGGATGTGGTGACATCGGTCTTCAGAAACCTTGGAAAGATTGCACAGCAGAGCTCTTCAGCTCCAAGACATCGCGAAGTGCCCCAAGTCTTGTCCCCAACCTGAGGAAACTGAGGGTTTTGGCCCGCTGGAGCTGATCATGAGAGTCACCGGGTCACCGGGAAGCCAAGGATATCCTCAAGTCTCCGAAACTTTCCGCAGGTCCAGTCTTGTGCAGGAGCGGATCCTCTGGGATTGTTTTGGTAGGCACAAAAAACCGAAGAAGGATAAAAACCGAAGGAGAATCCTCTAAAAAGTTATATCCCTTCCCCAGACAATGTTTGATTATATCTGGGCTCAGTCACATTGAAGTCGGGTCCAAATCTAAGGGCCGTGCACAGCAAAAAGAGCATGTTGCCATTCCTGTCCAGGATTCACTCAGTCACCAGGCTGAATTCAAGAGATTCGGTAAGACACCGGGAAGACTGATGACATAACAAACAACGCCCAAAGTGACTCAACAGGCAATGCAAGCTATGATTGGGTGTCCACTGAAGCCCTGTCGATTTAGCTTTTCTTTCCTGAAAGACCTGAAAGGAGTTCGTACCATCTCTTCATCCAGGCCTCTATCTGATCTCTTCATCCAGGAGTTTGCTGGCAGTCTCCCTCACAGAATCAGTGGAAAGGCACCATGGCATCATGGCAAGGGATTTCTGGGAAAATGAATGGCCTTTCACTCAACACGATACTAGGTTTGCCGCTTCATTGCGAGA